GGGCCTCCTGGGAGGCCCTCTCGCCGCCGCCGCTGGATTCGCTTCGGGATTCTGGTCAGAGCGCGCCCCGGGAGAGGTCTGAGGAGCGGCGGTGCCGGTACCTTTTGATGTCCCCAGGCGGGCCGCGCACCAGAGGTCAGTTTAGCCTGGGGACACGCTTGCGTTTAGAGGGCTCCAGTACTCCGGGGGCCTCTCCAAGCCCCCTTGCGGGCTGAGAGCGCTTCGCCTGAGCATGCCTTCCTGGCGCGCCCATGGCGAGGTACGGCCGGGAGCTTTTGGATGGCGTGTCGCTGCGCCGGCGCTGGCCCACCACGCTTCGGCGCGCCACGCTATCCACTGCCCGTTCCCCAGGCGGCCACGTCCCGAGCCTGTCCGAGCCTCCCGCCCCCGTGGAGCGGAGCGGCACGCTATCCGCTCGCACGGCAGAGCGTGTCGCCGCGGCCGCCGCCGCTGACACGCCAAGCAAGAGCTCCCGACCGTGGGGTCCTATTGTCACTCCTCCCCGGGAGAGGTCCGGGGAGCAGGAGGTGGTGGAGGACAAGGAGCAGGAGGAGGAGGAGGAGGAGGAGGAGGAGGAGGAGGAGGAGGAGGAGGAGGAGGAGTAGGAATAGGAGAAGGAGAAGAAGAAGTGGGAGGGGGAGGGGGAGGGGGAGGGGGACGGGAGGAGGAGGGGGAGGAGGAGGAGGAGGAGGAGGAGGAGGAGGAGGAGGAGGGAGTAGACATGTCGGTATCTCTTGGCTTCTTCAGAGGAGGAGAAGTTGCCGATCGCGGTGGAAGCCCTGCGCCTGTCCAAGTTCAAGTTTGCGGGGCGCCAGAAGATCCACGTGTCTAGCTTCTACGGCTCTCCAGGGCAACGCCAAGAGGGGGGATAGGCTCAGCGGGGGGGGGACGCCTCGATCCGCGATTGCTCACATCCCACCCCGCGCAGGAGCGCCCGGGTGCGCTTGCGGGGTTCCCGCCGCCCAGATCTCTCGGCGATGCACCGCCGAGTCGGGCTCGAGGTTTCCCCCCTCCCAGACCCCCGACGTCGTGATTGCGAAGGCCTTACGGCCGGTGCCGCCGACCCTGAATGGCGACGACGACGACGACGACGACGACGACGACGACGACGACGAGCGCTCTTGGGGGCCTCTTGGGGGTAGTTTGTGGGCCTCTTGGGAAGCTCTTCGCCGAGTCGGGCTCGAGGTTTCCCCCCCTCCTGGACCCCCGACGTCGTGATTTCATCCGCGGCGTCGGCCCCCAGGGGTCCGGACCCCTCCCCATGGGGACCTGCTTTTCATCCCGAGTCGTTGTTTGACGGTCTTGGGGCCCGGTAAGGACCCCCCTAAAACGACACGACGATCGGGACAAAATCGGATCGGGATAACTCGAAATCTCTGAGAATCTGCGGGTTTGGAGGATGTATTGGGCGCCGCGGCCGCTCGAGAGCGTTCCGGAACGCTCTGAGAGCGCTCCGGAACGCTCTGGAGCGATTTATCCCGATCCTAGCCCTGTTTTACCGGTAAGGACCCCCCGAGGCCGAAGATGCGCAAAACCTTCCCGTGGTACTTTTTGTCCGTGCGCGAGGGTGTCTGGGTCGTTTGCTGCCCCAGAGGCTTCACCAAGTTCACGAAGGAGGACTACGCGAAGTGGAAGGCTGATGGGCTTGTTTTCCACCACCACCACAAGTTGGAGGGCGAGGGGGTCCTCCTCGTCTTCCTCCTCTTCGTCCTCCTCCTCGTCCTCCACCTCCTCGTCCTCCACCTCCTCGTCCTCCACCTACTCCTCCACCTCCTCCTCCTCCTCTTCCTCCTCCTTTTCTTCCTCCTCCTCCTTGTCCTCCACCTCTTTCCCCCCTCCAACTCATGGTGGTGTCTGTGGAAAACAGACCCATCAAAGGCCATGGGCCGCCTGCGGCCCAACGGCGTGGACGTGCAGTGGCTCTCAAGCCGCGGCCCGCTGTGGCGCCTCATCGGCCGCTCGTGAGGCCGCCCTCGTCCGCGGCACGGCCGGCTGGAGTGGCCCCACTGCGCGCCCCATCCTCCTCATCACCCCTCCCCTCACTTCGCTCAGAGGAGGAAAAGGTACCCATACCTCTACCCTTCCCTCGTTTTCCCGTTTCTGGGCCTCCTCGGAGGCCCTCGTCGCCACCGCTGGATTCGCTTCAAAATCTTTGCCAGAACGCACCCCCGGAGAGGTCCGGGGAGTAGCGGTATCGGTGCCTTTTGTTCCCCATCAGCTGCCCGGGCACGCCCGTGTCAAGACTATGTCATCGCTGGATGCTCCCGCAAATGTTGCGATCTTCGGCTGGAGTTGTGACTCTCACTAATACATGGCGTGTTTTGTCTTCTTTTCAAACAGGGATATCACCAATCTCGTTTGGAAAGGAATCGATAAAGAGATCGACCAGGAACCCGGGAACCCTGAACCCACCGAAATCGGCCCGGAGCCACTAGCCCGAACCCGGGAACCCCGAACTGGGAACCCGGGAACCCAGCCGGCCACCAAAATGGGCGGGGAATTTTCGCCACATATTTTTCGATGTCTGCTATAGGACCCCTTCAGTTCAAGCACTGCTTGGGGAACGTTCTCCCTGCGTTTGTTGCTAGCTGGAGGGATGGAGGGTGCCTCCTCTACGAGGCGAGGTGCCGCCTTTTGTGCTTCTTGCCGTTTTCTGGCTTTATCTTTGTCCAGCGGGGCTATTGGTGGGCAGGTCCCTGAGCTTTCTCACAGCGTTTGTTGCTGGCTTTAGGTCGGGCCTGTCCCTCTACAGGGGGGAAATTCCACAATAGTCAAAAAATAGTGAGGGGATGATTTCCGAAGTATTGTTTGACCACGTGGGCGTATTGTTCGACTATTTTTGATTTCTCGTCCAAAATCCCCATGCTCCTCCTTCTGCTCCTCCTCCTCCTCTTGCTCCTCATGCTCCTCCTGCTCCTCCTCCTCCTCCTCCTTCTCCTCCCCCTCCTCCTCCTCCTCCTCCTTATCCTCCTCCTCCTCCTCCTCCTCCTCCTCCTCCTCCTCCTCCTCCTCCTCCTCCTCCTCCTCTTCCTCCCCTCGGGTAAAGCCCGGACCCCAGGTAAGGGGACCCGGTTAGTGGTAGGGCCCGGGAGCCCCGAAGTCGGGCAGAATTACCAAACCAGGTTTGCCGCAGCTATAGTCTTTTTCGGGCGGCGGCAGTTCCGGTCATAGTGGAACGGGGCAGGGGGGGGCGTCTGTAAGCAGATTCGTCCCTTACCATTTTCTTGTTTTCCTCGTCCCTTGAAAGGTCGAGGCCCATTCCATCAGCTAGAGCTCGACGATAGCTTCACGACGTCGGCGCTATGATGCGCAGATCGGCCTTCTGTGGGCCACGCTTGGGCTCCGGAGCCGCATCGACAGAATGGTAAGGGTGCGAGCCATCACGGGGGGGCCTACCCCAGTGTAATGGAGGATGACGATTAATAAATGACTGGGCGTCGTGTTCACGCGGCGGCGCCCGGGATGAAGAATAGAAAAAACCGGCCGCAGGCTGGATCTTTTTTTTTTGTTTTTGTTAATGTTTCTCCTCCAGTCAGAAACTTCTGCAGAAATAGCAGAAGACTATTTTTTTAATCGTTCTCTCCCATTTTTTGTATTAATCGTCATCCCGCATTTTTCAGCACCAAACCAGGTCCCACGAAGCCCAATTCTGCCAACGCCCGAATGAGGTTCGTGTCGTGCCGGCGCGGCGGCTGCTCCGCCGCGGGCGTTCCAGTGCGGGCAATAGTCATATCCAGTGTGCCTCGGCCTTGCGGCACCCCTTCCCAACAAGTGCACGACGCTCTGGATATGGATAGAAGTATTGCCCGCATCCAGGGCGAGCGCCGCTGGTGGCCTCAGAATCCAAAAAACTGGTTTATTGAATTCCAAAAGCTGGCGTTCGAACTCAAAAAAACAAGGGCGCCCAAGAGGGCGCGAAGTTATTCGCGCTTCGCGCTTCGCGGTTCGGCTCCTCATCCTCCTCATCCTCCTCTTCTCCCCTGGGAGGCGGCGCGAGAGCGCGAAGTTGTTCGCACTTCGCGCTTCGCTCAGCGCGAAGCGCGGAGTTGGGAGCCCTTGCTGAATTCAGAAAAAATGGTTGTGGATTCCAAGAGGCTCGTCCCTGAATTCTAAGACCCGTTTTTTTTTCAATTCACAGACCAGTCATTTGGCGTTCGAGGTCGAGCGCCGCTGGTGGCCCAGACTCAACCACGACTGAACGAGCCGGCGGGCGGAAGTCCGCCGACCGTTGAAGGCCGAGGTCGATCCAGGCGGTGTCAGAAGCCCAGGACGAGGAGAGAGTCCGTCCCATATGGCGTCCTGGAGAACGCTCTCGGAGCGTCCCGGACCGCTCTGGGGAGGCCGCGGCGCCCGAGGCACCCTCCAGAGCCGCCAGGCATCCGGGCTCCCCGATGCATCCTCACCCGGCTTCCTCCTCGCCCTGGCTCCGTCTCAAGCTCGTGAACCCTGCCATCCCCGACGTGCTCGCCCTCCCTCCCGCCCTCTCCGATCGGAGGGAGGAGGAGCGACACCAGCACCACCAGGGGGCCCACCTCCATCGAGGAGGTCCACGATGCTTCCCCGAGCTGGAGGCTGGGGATGTCTCGAGCGAGATGGGGGATACCACACCAGGGAGATTCCCCCTTGCCTCCTCGCACCTCCTCGCCCTGGTGGTGCTGGTGTTGCCTGTCCTTCAGGAGGAGAAAATACACACAGACACAATTGATCGTCCATCCCCAGGAAGATATTCCCAGGAAGATATGCGAAAACCCAAAACATACGAACAAACATGTGGGGAATCCTGGGACTTGCTCCCACTCCGACGCGCCCGCCCGCGGCGGCACCTCGCCGAGCTCCTCGAGGAGGAGGGCGCCCTCTCTCCCGCCCTCTCCGACGCGCTCGCCCTCCCCGACGCGCTCGCCCTCGGAGGGGGGCGCCCTCCCCCCCCCCCCTCCCCGACGCGCTCGCCCTCCCTCCCGCCCTCTCCGACGCGCCCGCCCCGCGGCAGCGCCCTCGCCGAGGTCCTCGAGGAGGAGGGCGCCCTCCTGGCGGTCGAGCCCGGGCGCCTGGTGGCGGAGCGCCTGCGGAGCGGCGGCGTGGGCGCCAGCGCCCGCCTTTGGTCGCCGCCCGAAGTGGGGGGCAGGGGCCACGTCGACCCCGTCCGCCCGACTCGATTCACGAGGCGTGCGACTGCGGGCGGCCGGGATGAGTAGGTCGACCCTGCCAGATCAAGGGTACATTCTCGTGTCCTGTGCCTTGCGGCCCATGCCTCCTGCAGTTCTGTGGCAGCGTGGCCCTCGGAGGGGTCTCGTGTCCTCTGGCGTGCCCTCTCCAAGCGAGTCCGACTGTAGGGGCCCCCTGCGGAGCGCAGCCGTCCAGCGTCCGCGCCGAAGGCCGCTGGGAAACCGCCAACGACCGCCAGAACATTCTGGGGATTCTGGAGTGGAGACATCGTCGTTGTCGTCGTCGTCGTCGTTTGCGTCGTCGTCGTCGACGTCGCGGTCGCCCTCGTCGGGTCGCGTTCGAATTCCCCGATGCTCGAGGAGCCCTCTCACGAAAGCGAGGAAGACCCGCCAGAGACCGCCCGAAGACCGCCCGAGGACCGCCCGAAGACCGCCCGAAGACGGCCCAGGAGCAAGGGGTGACGAGGGGTCCATGGACGAGCACATAGGATTCGGGCAGTGGCGAAGCGTCCTGGGTTGCTCTCGGGCCCACCCAGGACTATCCAGAGGCCTGGCATCGCTCGGACGTGTGCATTTTTCCTTCGGCGAGGACCATCGAGGAGCATCCTTGATCATTTGGCGAAAAAACACGCACGAAACCGAGAAAAGCACAGGGAATGGACGTCCGAGCAATGGCCAGAAGGAACTTTGGGGTTTGCGCGGCATGCTCTTAGAACTCTGCTGGCTGAGATCTTTTTGTTCTTGCTCGTCGGCCTCATGTTCTAGGACCACCAAAGAGTTCTAGGCCTTCCAGATGGGGTCCGAGCAGATGGGGTCGGAGGATCGGGCCGCATCCCCGATGCATCGGCGATGCGGCTCGATGTTGGACCCGAGTTTCTACACGCGGACCTCGGCGATGCATCGCCGACGTCGATTATGCGTCGCCGATGCATCGTCGATGCATCGCCGATGCATCGGCAATGCGGCGCGAGCTCCCGACCCCACCCACTCAGGCCCTATCTAGGAGGCCTCTAAGAACCTTCTAAGAACCTTCTTAGGTTTGCACGGCATGTTCTTAGAACCGTTCTTGCGGAGGCCGTCTTGTCTTAATTATTCGGCCTTACGTTCTAAGGGTGCTGGTTCTGTTATTCGAACATGTTCTTTGGACCTGAGAGCAGGTCCAGGTAGGCTCACGGGAGTGTCGGGACGCTCGGTCCCTGCCTAGTCGATGAGATCGGTCGATCGACCGAAGAGGATCGATCGCTCCAGTCGATTCGGTTTTTAATTCAATCGGTCGGAGCAGCGGACCGCATCGGAGCGTCGTCATATCGAGATCGATTCGGGTCGAGCTGGCCAGACCCAATATCTCCCTGGCATCGCTCGGACGTGTGCATTTTTCCTCCGGCGAGGACAATCGAGGAGCCTCCTTGATCATTTGGCGAAAAAGCCACGCACGAAACAGAGAAAAACACAGGTAATGGACGTCCGAGCGATGGCGAGTCTCGAGAGCTAATAATGGTATGAAGCTGACTGCTCGAGGGGCCCGCGCGGAGTTCCCGGAGCTGCGCTGGGGCGCCGTGGCGCTGGCCCTGGCGCGCTTCGCGCGCCGGGGAGGGGGGCCCAGCACCGATCCAAGAAGCCAGCGCGGAGCTCTGGATGTCTATGTCTACGTCACGTTCTCTTCCCTCGGGATAGCGATTCCGATCGGCCCGATCCCAGGCGATTCCGAGATGCCGACGCCCCGGTGCGGGGCCGTTGTTCGCACATCTTCGCGCGGCCGATCCGACGCACCTTCCGAGTCGCCCCACCGTCCCGAGTGGGTGCCGACTGTGTCTACCCCGGGCATCCATCGAAGAGGGAGGAGGAGGAGGAGGAGGAGGAGGAGGAGGAGAAGGAGGAGGAGGAGGAGGAAAAGGAGGAGGAGGAGGAGGAGGAGGAGGAGGAGGAGGAAAAAGGAGGAGGAGGATGGAGGAGGAAAAGGAGGAGGAGGAGGAGGAGGAGGAGGAGAAAGAGGAGGAGATGAGGAGGAAAAGGAGGAGGAGGGGGAGGAGGAGGAAGAGGAGGAGGAGGAGGAGGAGAGGAGGAAAAGAAGGAGGAGGAGGAAAAGGAGGAGGAGGAGGAGGAGGAGGAGGAAGAGGAGGAGGAGAGGAGGAGGCGGAGGAGGAGAGAGGAAAAGGAGGAAGAGGAGGAGGAGGAGGAAGAGTGAGGAGGAGGAAGGAGGAGGAAAAGGAGGAGGAGGAGGAAAGGAGGAGGAGGAGGAAGGAAACGCTGCAGAAGCACAGGTTCGGAGGTCGGCGCGCCTCGCTGGGATCGGCGCCGGGACCACCTCCCGCGGGGTGCGGAAGGGGGCGCCGCTCTCCACGAGGTCCAAGCCGACCTCCGAGGGGTTTCTCCAGTTCGGGTCGGGGGGATGGCCTTGTGGAAGTCGATGGAAGGAGAGGAAGCGCGCTGCCAAACAGTTCCCAGATGTCTAAAACATGTTTCAAACATGTTTAAAATGTGTTTAAACATGCTTGGAACATGTTTAGAACATGTTTTACACATGTTCAACACACGTTCAATTCAATGATCGGATTGTTAGAGTGTCCAGTTCGGGTCGAGGGGATGGCCTTGTGGAAGTCGGTTAATGGAGGGGAAGCATGTTGCCAAACAATTCCCAGATGTCTAATACATGTTTCAAACATGCTTAAAACATGCTTGGAACATGTTCAGAACATGTTTTACACATGTTAAACACATGTTCAATTCAATGATCGGATTGTTAGAGTGTCCATTGTCATGGCATCCACAAGGATGGCCCCGAGGTCGGGCGGACTGAGCAGATCGATCCCGAGGGGGGGGGTGCGGGCCTCTGGTCGTCGTGGTGCCTCAGGGGAGGGAGCTCTACCCGCGATGCCGCTGGATAAGGAACCCATTGTCTGAAAGCCGGTAGAACGCCATTGGAGGCTTGGCAATAGATATCACCGCCACCCCTATCATATGACGACGGGAGCTGTCCTGCTACGCTCGCTTGAAAAAGGTACCACGCACCCTGTTCAAAGCCTTCGTGGTAGCACGCGCTGCGTGTTGGCTCGGCACGTGTTGGTCCACGTTTTGGCGAAGGCATTGTGCCAGACCTACGCTTTCAGTCTACGTGTTGAGCTCCCACGCCTCCTGGGCACACTCATTACTGTAGGTTGATGCGTGCGTTCGCACGCCAGCGACGCCGGCGAAGGCGTTCGAGGTTGAATTCTGCGACGCGGAACCACCGAGGGACACGGTCAACGCCATTGGGCCCGACGGAGTCCAATCTTGAACGATCGGGCCCGCGTTCGATTCAAGGTGGAACGATCGACGCAGTGCCAAAATCCGTTGCGCGCGCTGACGCCGCACAAGCCTTCCCTAACGACTGCCCCAACCTCGGTTCGTCCCTCGCTGTCTCGCCGTCGCCTCTTTGGGAGCCTCCTGGGGTCCACGTCTTGGCGAAGGCGTTGCGCCAGACCTACGCCTTCAGTCTACGTGTTGAGCTCCCACGCCTCCTGGGCACACTCTTCGACGAGCGCCCCCACCGTGCTCGTCCCTCGTCGTCGGCGTCGTCGGCGTCGGCGTCGTCGACGTCGTCGGCGTCGTCGGCATCGTCGTCGTTGCCCCGCCGGGAGCCTCCAGGGGGCTGCGCTTCGCCCACCCGCCGGACTCGCCTCGAGCTGCTGGCCAGCGGGGCGTCTCGGGAGAGGCCTCCCCCGGGGATCAGGGGCGCCAGCCCGGGCCGCGGGACGTCGCCCCATCGTTCCAGGCTTCCCAGATGGTGTCGGAGCAGATTTAAGTCGGGCCTGTCCCTCTACAGGAGGAAAATTCAAAAAGAGTCAAAGAATCGTCTGGGGACTAATTTTTAAAAATATGTTGGAGTTTTTCCATATTTTTGATTATTTCAGAGCTTTGACAGGCCCGACTTACAGGTAGATGGGGTGGGAGGGAGGATCGCGCCGCATCGCCGATGCATCGCCGATGCGGCTCGAGGTGGAGCCCGCTTCTGCTTCACGCCGACGTCGGCGACGCATCGCCGACGTCGCCGATGCGTCGCCAAGGCGGCACGATCCTCCGAGCCCGTCTGCTCGGACCCCATCCGGGAGGCCCCCAGGGCCGCGGGTCGTTGCCCCATAGGCCCCACGCGGATGGCTGCGGTCGAGCAGCGGCGAGGGGCGCCCGGCCTTGCCCGCATGGCCCACCGAGGGATGCCCCGAGGAGGCTGCGGAGGTCTGCACGGCGTGCTCTCAGAGCGCGTCTGGCTCCGAGGCCGCACGGGTTCGGCGCCTCGGAGGTGCTCGGGGGAGCGTGGTTGCAGGGAGGGCTGCCCCTCGCAGCTGCACGAGTGGCCCGCAAATGCCCCGCGAATGGCCCGCAGATTCCCCGCAAATGCCCCGCGAAGAGCTCTTCTCGCCCCACGAATGGCCGACAAGTCCCCCGCAAGTGCCCCGAGGGGGACCCACAAATGGCCCCGCGGTCCTCGGCTCGGTGCTCGGCCCCCCTGGCGGCGCCTCCGGCGCCGCCCCCGGCGCGCTCCCCGCACGCCTGGTGGGGGGGGTCCAGCGCCGACGCGAGAGATCCGCGCGGACCTCAGAGCTGTGTGTTTTGTGATCGTTGGCTTACTTACAGAGGCTCATGCCAAGACACCCCGTGCTTGCCTCCAGGGTTCCCTTGATTTCATGGGTTCCGATGGCTCTGCGATGGGGAGCGTGACGCTCCCGCACCAACAAAAATCAGCGGACGTCCTAGGGTCTCCGGTTTGGGTTTCTTGTGGGAGGTTTCTTGTGGACGGGCATCAAATACATAGTTTTTGTTCAGGATCAAGACTAAAAGTACGATGGCTGCGACGCACGCCGCGCGAGGCGGCTCGCGGGCCAAAATGTTTACGGCTCGGGCGCACGCTGCGGGCGATGCTTCCCCACACCATGCCCTGCTCACTACGGATCTGGTTGCCACGTGCCTGCTTCGCAGACCTGGCGTGCCATCCGCAGGCGCGCCAGCGCTAGGAAACGGTTTTTTGAATTTGCATTACACCCACCACAGAAACACCCCAATCAATGGATGGTTTTCTCTGAGGAGATCGACCGGAAACCCAGGAGCCCGGGATCCCAGAACCTACCGAAATCGGCCCGGAACCAATCACCGGGAACCCGGGAACCCCGAACGGGGAACCCAGGAACCCAGCTTGCTACCAGAATCGGCGGGATTTTTTTTGCCAAATCTTCAATGTCCGCTGGGACCCCTTCAGTGCAAGCACTGATAGGGGGAAACCAGTCTGTATCTCCCTCTCTTCCCCATTAGCCTTTCAATCCCTCTCTCTCACGGCTCCTCGTCACAAAACACTGGGCGTGTCGGCTGGGCGGGCTGGGCGATGTGTCGCCAATGCATCGGCGATGTGCCGGACCCCATCCAGGGGGCCTCTAATCAACATTTCAGTCCCTCTTACGGCTCCTCGTGACAACACTGGGCGTGTCGGTGGGCGGGCTGGGTGGGGAGGTATCGGTGCCTCGCTGTCCCCACATCATCGGCTACTACTCCTGAGTGGTTGGAGTCGTCCTCGGTATTCCGGCCCTGGTGATGCTGTGGTGCTCAGTCTGCTCAAGCGGGCTGAGCAATCGAGCTGAATCTCCAGATTACTCTGTCTTAGCCGCTCCTTGTCCTGGCTTTCTCTGGACGTGTATCTGGCATAAGCCGGTTGGGATGCCCCTTCTCTTACCCGGCTCGATACGTCCTCAGGTCGTGCCCGAGAAGACTTCCCAAGAATTCCTCAGGCCTGATTGTATTTGTACCCACTGCCTCGCGGTCCCGGCTCCTCAGCCGCGATCCCAGAAGTATGTACAGAGAGGCGGAGGGGCTCTGGGCGGATGCCCATAGCGAAACGTGCACGTGGGGTGGCATATCCATGGGATCGCACTTCGGCGTCCACACTGCGTGGGCATGCGTCTATACATCATGGAAGTGTTCGTCGTTACTTGGGAGTTGGCACCTGGCTTGCTATTCCGATCATCAGCCTCCCGCTGCTGACAGCCAGTCGTTGTCAGCAGGCAGTTCTATGCACATATGGAAACTGCGAAACTGCTTGATGCAGCGGCGGCAACGGGGTCCCCAGAGACGCGCGCAGACGCTCGCCTGCGAGTGTGTATGACGATCGGAACTAAAGTAGGCACATCACACAACTCGCCAGCGGGTGCACCGCTGACATGTCTTTCCACCCCCCGACGGTCCCGGTCCCGGGCGTCGCAGAAGCTCTAAGAGGCCTCTCAAATATTGACGCATCGTGTGCTCCACCACCTCGTGCAGCAAGACTTCTTGTAGTATGTGTGCAGCGTGCCGGCACGATCAGCCCAGGCCCCAACAAAACATGCATCCCGCTGCTCGTCGGGGCCTCCGGGGCCATTCTTCAGGGAGGGTGCGCTCCGATCGACCCGATTCGATGCCGATCGCGGTCTGCCCGATCCGATTCGGTGTCGAGTCGAAATCCAGACGATCCGATGCGGCCCGGTGTTCGCATGATTTGGTTGTGCATCCTGGCGCAACCGATCCGACTTGATTTCGGCTCCGTGCCGATGCATCCCGATCCGATGCACATTCCGAGGCGATCCGATTCCCCGATTCGATGTCGACTGATCTTGTCCCGGGCATTTGTCGAAGAGGGAATACTTGCATAAGCCTTGATTTTCGGAGGTCCGCGAGGATAGCTTGATTCGGCGCTGCATCCATCCTTCCCTGGCGCGCGGAGCGCGGCTGGGGCAGCGCCGGAGGCGCCGCCCAGGTGGATCAGCGCCGATGCAATATATCCGCGCAGACCTCCAACTGTCTAGTTCTGTGCCGTGCCTTCTTCCTCGATCCCAGCGGATTGCCTACGAGCAACCCGCACAGTGAGGACAGGCAATCTTCCCAAGGGTACCCCTGGATCCTCAGGAGGGGGAGGGGGGGGGAGGTAAGAGGTGGAGGGGAGGAGGGAGGGGAAGGAGGAGGGGAAGACGGGGGAGGGGGACGGAGAGGGGGGGGAGGGGGAAAGAGGAGGACGGGGAGGAGGAGGAGGGGGAAGAAGGAGGGGGAGGAGGAGGGGGGGGAAGGAGGGGCATCCTCGGTCCATCCTTGGCCACTCTCGTCGGCCGCGGCCCTCGCATCCTCGTCGCCTATGGTGATGTGGGTGGGCTGTGGATCCTGGCGGGCTGTACGGCCCAGGCCCAGGCCTCGACCGACGACGCACGGCGGCGGCGGAGGCCGGCGGGGGGCGTCGGCGGCCGGCGCCGGCGGCCGGCGGCGGCGGCGCGTCCAGGGCGGGCGGCCTGAGCGGGGCGGGGAAGGAGAGGGCCTCAGAGGGGCCCTCCAGGGGGGCTCCTTTCCTGTTGGAGCCCGCAGGAGCCCCCGCGGGGCCCCGAAGGACGCCAGGCCTCCTATAGGTGGGGTCGGAGGATCGCGCCGCATCGCCGATGCATCGCCCATGCCGCTCGGTGTGCAGCCCGATCTGCTCCGCGTCGGCGTCGCCGCTGCATCGCCGACGTCGAAGACGCATCGCCGATGCATCGGCGATGTATCGGCGATGTGGCGCGATCCTCCGACCCCATCTACTCCGAAGGGGAACGAGGAGGGGAACGAGAAGGAAGAGGAGCAGGAGGGGGAGGAGGAGGAGGAGGAGGAGGAGGAGGAGGAGGAGAAGGAGAGGAGGAGGGGGAGGAGAGGAGGAAGAGAGAGGGGAGGAGGAGGGGAGGGAGGAGGAGGAGGAGGAGGAGCAGGAGGAGGGAGGAGAAGGAGGAGGAGGAGGAGGAGGGGAGGAGGAGGAGGAGGAGGAGGAGGGAGGAGGGAGGAGGAGGAGGAGGGGAGGAGGAGCAGGAGGAGGAGGGGGAGGAGGAGAAGGGGGAGGAGGAGGAGAAGGCCCTCTTGGCCTCGAGGCCTGCCCTGCCCCGGGCCCCGGTGGCCCGGCCCGGCAGGTCTGCGCCCCTGCCCGGCGGGCTGGCCTGGCGCGGCGGCTGCGCGGCGGGCGGGGCGGTGTACCTGCTGGGCAGGGAGGAGCGCGACGACGACGAGGGCCGCGACGAATGCGACGAGGGCGACGACGGCGACGACGACGACGACGCCGACGACGCCGGCGACGCCGGCGACGACGACGACGACGACGACGACGACGACGGCGACGACGACGACGGCGGCGGCGACGGCGACGACGACGACGGCGGCGGCGGCGGCGGCTGCGGCGGCGGCTGCGGCGGCGACGACGACGACTGCGACGACGACAACGACTGCGACGGCGACGCCGACGACAGCGACGGCGGCGAGAGCGGCGGTGGTGGACGTGAACTGATTGGCTGGGCTCTGGCCCTGGCCCGTGGTGGATGCTAGCCAATCTGGGTTCCTGTCTGGCCCGTGGTGGCGGCGACGACGACGACGGGAGAGGACGCGATGGCCCACCCCAATGAGAACGCGCAGGGGGAGCAGGAGGAGAGCGAGGAGGAGGCCAAGCTTCAGCCGCGCCTCCCGCAGAGGCGGGCGCGGCAGGCTCCCGCCGTGGCGGGGACCACGATGGCGGCCACGACGACGACGACGACGACTCTGAGAACGACGACGAGGACGGTTGCGGCGGCCACGACTGTGGCGGCGGCGACGGCGGCGGCGTTGGACGCGACGCCCCCAGAGTTGTTTAGGAGCTCCCTGGCGGCCCCCAGATCCTTCGGAGGTACCGGCAGCTTCTGGAGGCTTCCATCTGCAGAGGAGCTGTTGCACATCGGCGGCGAGCGAGGGGGGGAAGTGAGAAGGAGCAGGCCTTCTCAGAAGGCGGCGGCGGCCTCGCGGGAGCCCTCGCGCCGTCTGCGAAGTCCCTCGTGTCCTCTGGGAGGGCTTCGGACACTTCTCAGACGGCCGGGGGGGGCTCCGAACCTTTGGGAAGGCCTCCTCCTTCTCACGTCCCCGCCCGCGCTGGTCGCCGAGCACAGCCCGATCCTCATCCTCGAGCCTCCCGCTCGAATCTCCGCCTCCTTCCCCTCTGCCCCAGGTCCCTCCCCCCGGCCCCCGGCCGTGCCCCTGTCCATCCATCGACGTGTCCGCTTCTCGGTCGCCCACCGTGCGACGGTGCGTGCGCGCGCGACCTCGCGCAACCCTTAGGATGGACGAGATCTACATCCATATCCACGGCGTCTTGGACTTTCTGGGAGGGGGCGCCAAAAGGCCGAGGCGCAGTGGGATATGGATGAGCATCTAGCATGTAGGGGTCATGATCTTATCCATGTCCATTGCGCCCCCGGTTTCTGGAGGGGAACCCAAAAGCCCAAGACGCAGTGGGTATGGGTACAAATCTTGTCCGTAGCAGAGCCTCCTTGACTCGGCATCCCCCACAGCATCCACAGCGCCGAGGCACCCGAAAGCTTTGGTTAGTTTTCTTCTGCTTCGTCGGGGTTCTGAAGGTATTATTTCCAGGCATGCTCGCGTCGTGAACAAATTCTGACGAGAGGTTTTTCTCCGTGTTCTGTCAATAGGGGTCCTGACCGAGCCCCCCGTACAGTCGAAAAACAACTCAGGATGAAGAATTGGTCCTGGGGAAACGGTGGGGATTTCTGGGGACCGCGTACTGAATCAGTCGACTACACGTAAAAGTGACCTTTCGCTGGAGTGACCTTTGGTGCGGGCCCAATGGGGTTACCCGATCGCTGAGCGCGAAGCGGTAGCAGCGGCTTGCGCGCCCAGGCCTGGCCACCCCGAGTAAGCCGCCCGCCAAAGGTTACTCGTGCCTAGGCTCACTCTTGCGTGTAGCCGAAGACGCTAGGAGGTCGCAGGTTCGGGCCCGCTCCTCCAGAGGAGTCGCCGAGCGGAGGCGGCGGCGCCGCGGGCGTCTGGAGGACCGCGCGCCCCCGCCCGGCGGGGGGGGCTCGCAGGCGGCCCTCCCACTTCGATCAAGGGCTCATGGGCAGGCTGGTAGCTCTCGCGGCGCCGGGAAGCCGGAGTGTTTTTGTTGTTTGGGGCTGGTTCTTCTTAAACCAAAATATTTTTTTGGAAATAAAAACATAAACAATGAATTCTCAAAACAACAAAAACGCGACGAAGACCAGTGGCACGGGGGAGGACGAGGAGGGGGGCCGGGGGGAGGAGCGCGCCCACACCAGCGCTCTCCGGCGAACTCGCCGCTGCGCGCGCGTCCGTCTGGCGCCCCGGGCCGCTGGAGGCGCCAGGGGCGCGGCCTGGCAGGGGCGAGAGCGGGATGCGCGCGTGGCGCCCGCTTCACCTCCGCCGGCGCCCCACGGGAGGGTGCGCCGGCGGAGGCTGAACGAGGCGCCAGCTTGTTCTGGATTCAGGGGTCCGTCTTCTCCTTCTCCTCCTCCTTCGCCTCCCCCTCCTGTGCGATTCCTGTGTAAGCCATCGTGTGAATCCGATTTGCTTTAGAGCAGTGTTTTCGTACGCCTGTTCGGGAGATTTCGGACAACAGTAAAGATAGAGAGTGCAATCACTCATGCATTTTTCGTTGCCCAAATCCCCTTCTCTATCGTATCACTCCTACCATGCTCCCGCTTGTCCGCTCTCACCTTTCACCTCCGTCGCTGTTTGGCTTCCGAGGGCACTTGAGCTTCTGGCGAGAAGAGATTCGCTCGTGTGCAACCGAGCCCAGGAAAAGTGCGAGGCCACCGAGGCCTCATCCCAAAGGTCCCTGTGAACCGGTACCAGCTTCGCTTACACTCATAAACACGTCTATTGATTTCATGTCATCGAAGGAGCCTTCCGCAGGGGTGCCCTATGACAAGTATCCGAACTACGGCGGCTTTGACTACGAACATGCGCATTCAGGATCCTTGATAAAAAAGGCACCCTTGGGAAGGAACCCGTAACCCAGGAAACGTGGGTGATGAACCCCCTTGTTGCAGGTATTCTCAGCATTGCGAACATCATTAGCAATTACATTCTCGCTCAGGCCGGCTCGCCGAAAGAGACCTTTTTATTAAGCAGCCCGCATCCTTCTTAATGCACGCTGATTCAAGGTATCCCCACGGAAGATCCCTTGCTACCGGGATGGCCGCTGAGGATTTTTTCGGGCAGAGGCACCCTTACGAGTGCTGTCCGTGGGCATCGTCACCCGGGATCATTCACCCTAGGGGACCCCGCGAAGGCCCCCTTTACAGTAGGCATCCTTGCCAAGGATCTCCAGCAGCGGCCTCGGTGGATGCTTTCGCACGGCGCCCTGCCGGGTTTTCATTGGCTTGGCCGTGTGTGAGCGTGAGAGGGGGTGGGAGAGAGGGAGAGAGAGAGGGAGAGAGAGAGCGTGACAGAGAGAGGGAGAAGGGGGAGAGAGAGAGAGAGAGAGTGAGAGAGAGAGAGCATCCACGTTCCCTGCCGCGTTACCCCTTCTGTGCTGTGGGGTGTGACAGAGAGAGAGAGAGAGAGAGCACCCATGCCCCCTTCCCATCTCCTCCTCAGGAAGGACTCCGCATTACAGGACTCCTTGCACATGATTATTTTTTCTGACACGGTGTCCTCATTAAGGAGTCATTACAGTCAAGGGCATCGTTGTAAGGAATCCTTTATGCGGGGATCTCTACTAAGGGGATCGCTAATAAAGGCACCACCATTAGGGAAGCCGCACCAAAAACATCATTACTAAGGATCCCGTATGCAAGGCCTTCCTATTGAGGAGCCCGTGCCGAAGGAAGCGCGCGTAATGTATCTTTCATTGCAGGCATCCTTATTGCGGGGCCATTGCTACAAGGCATCCTCACTAAGGGCCCCTCCCGACATGGATCCTTACTACGGGTTCGCTGACACTGGCATCCTTAGTATTGAAAGCTTACTACAGGCACCTTCACGAAGGATCCCTCACGACAGGGATCGCTACTCAAGATCATGAGATTAGATAGGCCCCGTTGCAGCTGTACGAGTGCCACATGAGTTCTCAGTAAGGGCCCTTCGCTACAGGAATGCTGTCTACGGATCTCTAGCAGTGGCCCCATCGGAGACGTTCGCACGGCGTCCCATATGGCATAAGGGATTCATCGGTCGGTCTGTGCGTGAGTGTGCGCGAAAGGAAGAGAGTTAGAAGTGAAGAGAGAGAGAGAGAAAGACAGAGAGAGAGATGGGGAGAGCGTGTGAGAGATAGTGGGGGGAAGGGGGAGAGAGACCGAGAGAGAGATAGAGAACAAACATAATAATAGCAAGACTAACCTGGAAACACACAACCATCTCCATCTCCCACTTCTCCCCTCCCACTTCCTCCTCCTCCTCATACTCCTCCTCCTCCTCCTTCTCCTTCTCCTCCTCCTCTTCCTCCTCCTCTCTTAGGAGTCAGGGTCCCTTACTCAGGATCCCGTGCCAAAGGCATATGCGGGTCCACAGCGCTACCCACGTGGCCATCAGACAGAGATGACAGTTCCATTGCGTCGGCCTCGTCGCTCGTCGTCTTCGTCGCCGCCGCTGCCGCCATCGTCGTCGCCGTCGTCGTTGTCGTCGTCTCCGCAGGCGGCGGCTGCGGCGTCGCCGCCGCCGTCGTCGTCGTCGTCGTCGTCGTCACCGCCGGCGGCGGCGTCGTCGTCGTCATCGTCGTCGTCGTTGGCGTCGTCGTCGTCGTTGGCGTCGTCGTCGTCGTCGCCGGCGGCGGCTGCGGTGTCGTCGGCGTCGTCATCGTCGTCGTCGTCGGCGTTGTCGTCGTCGTCGTCGTCGGCGTCGTCGGCGTCGTCGTCATCGGCGTCGTCGTCGTCGTCGTCGGCGTCGGCGTCGTCGTCGGCGTCGTCGTCGTCGTCGGCATCGTTGTCGTCGTCGTGTGCCAGCTGCGGCCCATTCGCTGGCAGAGGCGGCGGCCCCGAGTCGGAGCCGGCGCAGGGCAGATGGGGGGGGGGGAGGACCCGAGGGAGCGAAAGCAATCCGCCAGGACATGCAGGAGGATGAGGAGGCGGAGGAGGAGGAGGAGGAGGAGGAGGAAAAGGAGGGGGAGGAGGAGGAGGAGGAGGAGGAGGAGGAGGAGGACGAGGAGAGGGTCCGCTAGGACATGCAGGGTCCGATGCGGGAGTACGGTAAGTGTTTGAAGGGCAGCTGAAACAGCCACGTAAGAACATCCACCGGCATCGTAGAAAGAGGACATCGGCAAGGCGGCTTCGAGCAGATATCAGCAAAGTCGCCGGGGGTGGTGGTCGCCCCTCGACCTGGAGGGGTGGCAGGGCGGGGGTCCTCCCGGCGCAGGATCTGGCTGCCGCCCTGACCGCGGCCAGCCCGGATCGGCCGCCGCCGCGCCCCTTTGCGGCGGAGGCCCAGAGCCGCTGCCGCAGTGTCCCGGCAGCCCGCGGAGTCCAAGGGCAGCCGCTGCGGCGGGGCGGGGCACAGTCAGGGGCAACGCCGTGAGTTCCCCAGCCGTCGAAGAAGAACAAACGGCATAAACCTAAATTTGGGCCGCTCCGCGCGGATTTCTTGGATCTGCGCTGGGCCACCTCGGCGGCGCTTGGCGCGCTCCGCGCGCCAGGGAGGGGGGTCCAGCGCTGATCCATGGAACCCGCGCGGAGCGGCAAAAGTTTATGTTTCTGCGGCTTGTTCTTCTTCTAAGCCGGTGCGGGGACCACACTGTGTGGTGAGTCAGATGGGATTTGGGGTCAACCCACGTTTTTCAGGCATGGGTCGTTCTCCGATGACGCCTCGGGTGATTGGGGGTCTCCAGGGTCCCAAACCGTGCGGTGACGGACCATGCGTTGAGACCTTGGGAGATTTCGAGGTCACCGCACGGTCTGTCTCCGTACCGTTTATGACTCCGGACATTAGCCATGGGCAGCGACGGGGGGGATGCATTGGCCCAGTGGCGGGGGGGGGCATCGAGCCCAAATCTCACACAGGGGGAAGATACCGATACCACTGGCCGTCCCTCTTTGCCACGGTTGGACTCGCCTCGCAAGCCTGGCACCCTAGCCCGACCGCACCCTGTCAAAGGGCCAGGGAGCAGCGGTGTTGGCAGGCTGCTGTTCCCCGCAGTCACGCCTGTTCACCGCCAGCGGGGCCCGGTGGCCCCACCTTGCCCAGGGCCCAGGCGCTGGAGGTTTCGCCATCGCGAGCCTATCGTTAAGTCGGGCACGTCCCTCTACAGGAGGAAAATTCAAAAATAGTAAAAAAAGAGTCTGGGAACGATTTTACCTAACAGCTTTTGCTGATAGGTTTCTAGTGGTCTCAAAAGAGAGCAGCAGATGACTCCACATGGGGGTCGGGGCGGGACCCGGGGCGGTGCCGCCGAAGCCGAAATCGCTTGGGACATCCTCGCAAAATCGCTCTTGGTGCTCCCAGAACTCCATTTCCGGGCCACATTTTGGATGCCCGGAGCCAACTGTAGGCCACTTCGTGCTCTTCGACTTCCCAGAACTCCATTCCCGGGCCACATTTTGGATGCCCGGAGCCAAACGTAGGCCACTTCGTGCTCCTCGATTTCCCAGAACTCCATTCCCGGGCCACATTTTGGATGCCCGGAGCCAACTGTAGGCCACTTCGTGCTCTTCAAGTTCCCAGAACTTTATTCCTGGGCATGATTTTGAATGCCCGGAGCCAACTGTAGGCCATTTCGTGTTCTTCTAGTTCCCAGAACTCCATTCCTAGGGCCACATTTTGAATGCCGAGGCAGGCTGATGCTGCGGCCGAGGCAGGCTGAGGCTGAGGCAGGCTGAGGCTGAGGCCGAGGCTGAAGGCAGACTGAGGCTGAGGCTGAAGCAGACTGAGGCTGAGGCTGAGGCAGGCTGAGGCTGAGGCTGAGGCTGATGCTGAGGCAGGCTGAGGCTGAGGCTGAGGCTGATGCAGGCTGAGGCTGAGGCAGGCTGAGGCTGAGGCCGAGGCTGAAGGCAGACTGAGGCTGAGGCTGAAGCAGGCTGAGGCTGAGGCTGAGGCAGGCTGAGGCTGAGGCAGGCTGAGGCTGAGGCTGAGGCAGGCTGAGGCTGAGGCTGTGACTGCGACTGCCGTTGCCGCTGCGACTGTCATCGCGAATGCGACTACGACTGCGAGAACAGCAGAATTCTACAACTGGATTTTCATCTGAATCTTAAGGGGAATGCTTTCAGATATGCTTCTACACATCGCTGTTAGGTTGCTTTGCCGGGATAATTTCGAGTATTTCTGAACATGTTTGAATACTTTGGGGGTGTTTTGAATTTTTCGTCCCATACCCGCCTGCAGGGGGGACACGCCCGACCTGAGCCGATCGCCAATCTATCGGCGATGCAGCTCTGACTCCGACATGAAACCATGGCCCCCCCGCCCCCTCTGCGCCAGTCCACCCGTATCGTTCCCACCCGTCAGGGTTCCCCGACATGCTCGCGTCGTGGCAAAGTCACGGCGGAGGGGCTTTGGGGCGGTCTTCGGCCCCTGGGAGCCTCTGCCGGTCCCCGGGGCCGCCCAGAGGCACCTCGGGATGAAGCAGTGGCCTCGGGGAAAGGTCGGCTAGACGTAAGAGTGACCTTTCGCAGGAGTGACCCTTGGTGCGGGCCCACATGGGTCCCCCAATTGCCGAACGCGCTGCGATATCAGCGGCTTGCGCGCTTGGGTTTGGCTGCCCCGCGCCCCCCCTAATGCCGCGCACCAAAGGTCATTCTTACCCAGGGTCACTCTTGCGCATAGCCGAAAGGGGGCCGAGGACTCTGGGCACCTCACGTTGCGAACAAGTCACGGCGTTGGGGGTCTGGGTTGGCCAGGTGGCGCAAGGTCTTTTTTGCCAGCCGTCTCCAGACTTGTCCCCCAGACTCCCCTAGGCCACTGGCTATCCGGCGGTGTCATCCTTCCCTTCCTCAGTCCGCCAATGGAAGCAGAGAGATAGAGAGAGAGAGTGAAAGAAAGAAAGAAAAGAGCGAGAACGGGGACCAATTCAGGAGGACCTGGCAGCGCTGGCGGTGGGGATCCAGAATTGGTAAAGATGTTCAGCCGCGTGCCCCATGGCACGGGCACCCTCCGAGCAGGTACGCGTCAAGAGGGGATGTTACTGAAGAGCAGAAGGTGGCGATCCCCCTGGTGGCGATCCCCCTGGTAGCAACACCCTCTGGCACTGCTGGGGTTGAGGTGGGTGCCGAAAGGCCGGCAGGCATCGCCTGCGCCTGCAGGGTGCGCACGGACAGATTATCCAGCCTGCGGGGGAGCGGCCGAATAGATGAGCTCGCCGACGACTGCGTGTGGCTGTTTTTCATTTCTGATTTCGCCGATCGGCGCGGGCCCCTTGCCCCCCCCTCAAAGCAAGAATCGTCAATTTCCCATGCTTTGGAGAACTCCTAAAAACAAGTATGAGAAAAGTGCCTTTTCTACAGTAGTACTACTAGTAGTAGTAATAGTAGTACTTTCAATGACCAAATATTGTAATACATACTTTCAATACTCGTAGTAACAGCGACAACAAGTATAGAAATTAACATAATTCAATGACCAAATATTTTAATAATATTAGTTGTAGTAACATTCGTAGAAATATGGATCCTCGTAATGGTAATGACACGTAAGAGCATGTATGAAACCTTTCGCTAGCATTAAGATTTAAAACATCTGATCTGCATTCCCACTCCGTAGACCAGGTCATGGCTAATTCTGGCAACAACTGGTCAGGACGCCTCCCCCGAGTCTTTTTGTGCGACCCGTAGAGGCAGATCGATTGAGCACCGGCCAAGGCCCAGTGACCCCCTCACCTCCCGCATCCTTCTGCCAGATGTCGAAGCCCAGAATGAAACACTGCTTACCATGCGCCGCTCGATAATGTGCGACGTCGATCACGACATGGCGCAAGGGTATTGGGCCAGTTATGGAGCCAGACGTAGCTAAGTGACTCCGCACGTGCATGTAACGATTATCGCGTGCGTTGATATCTCACCGCGGTTTCTGGAGCAGCAACAGGCAACAAGGGAAGGTGGGTAGGGCACCAATGGTGAAGAGAGACGCGCGGGATCAGGTGGAGCATCAGCTGGTCTTCGACCGCAACCGGGTTCTTGCGACCGGGCATGAAGTGAGGGCGAGGGGATGCCCTTGCCGCTTTCACAGAACCCAACCGCTGCTCAGGCTGTTTTCGTTTCTCCTCCGTGGAGGCGAATTACGTCTGCTGCTCAGACTGCTGCCCACCTGGCGTCCCCTGGTCCACATGTTGTGATCCTTGTTCGGGCGTGACACGTGCCGCTGTCAGCATCCGGCGCGCATTGTTTGTTTCACCCGTCACGTTCATGTGATTGAAGAAACAACGGCGAAGCATAAGTTTGAGGAGGCCCGCGCGGATTTCTTGGACCGGCGTTGGACCCCCGTCCCTAGCGTGCGGAGCGCAACAGGGTCGGCGCCGGAAGCGCCGTCAGGGTGGTCCACCGTCGAGCACAGGAATCCGCTCGGATCTCCGAACGATTATGTTTGTGCCGCCTCGTCTTGTTCTAGGCATCCAGGATGCGGGATTCGGCGCCCACTGCAGCATCAAGAGTGCAGGTCTGGATGCATAATCCATCGTGGCGCATCCGTTGCAGCATACAGATGGCAGGGCCCGCTCTTTTCGGGACGCTCGGCTTCTTAAGCCTCGGGACGTCTCACAGACAGAATTACTCCCCCCATGGCTATCATCATGCTTGTCCTCTTTTCCCTCCGCTTGCTCTTCCTCCTCGCGGACCGTACCACAAGGAAGACCAGGCCTGGATATCGTCACTGAGGGTTGTGTCTCATTTCCTTGCCCATGTCCTCCTTGTGTGGCGCAAGCACGGGCTTGCGCCCGCCAATGGGCGCGATGACGAGAACCGCGGGCGAGGAGACAGAAGTGGCGTAGAGCGCCCTCCCGAGGGGACGTCCCTCGCCAGCACGCCCAAGCCGCGCTCTGCGAAGCATCGTGCTTTGGAAAACGCGAAAGATGTTCTCGTCATCCTCCCCCTGTTTTTTCGTCCTCGCCATGCTCACCGCATGGCCCCTGAGACTGGCAAGTGCTCTGGGACCTGAGGTCTCTTCAGCGTTGCTCATCGCATCGGGAAGCTAGGGCAGCATGGCGTACTTCCTCTGACTTGTTCAGGTTTAGGTTCCGTCACTGCTTCGAGGATCGTACCATGCATACCCATCGGTCATTGAAAGTTAATATTTTCAGATTCCCCGATTCTACTCTACTTCAAGCGCCTTCCTACTTCAATGATCGAGTGGCTTCACCGTTTCCGTCTTCCTTAGGGGGCGGGCGGACACCCAATCTCTTCTCAACGCTTTCATCATTCATGTTTGTACCTACTATTTTAAAATAGTACTTCTTCCAACCGATGGGTACCATGCACCCTCCCCCTCCTCCCCCGTAGCCATGCCCCCGCGAGCCGAGCAGAACTCGTCTACACGCCACCAGCGGGAGGCACCACCAAAAAGCAGCTCGGGACGAAAAGAGCCGGTCCTCTGGGACACGGCTCGGGTCTTCCGGGGACCGCGCAGGGCAACAAATCGGGACAGCACATGTCTGGGCGCGTGCTGCCGAATCCTCGAGGGGGGACGCGAGCAGATGGCCTCCCGGCGTGCAAAAGGGTTCTCCTCCTCCTCCCCCTCCCCCTCCCCCCCCTCCTCCTCCTCCTCCTCCTCCTCCTCCTCCTCTCTCCTCCTCCTCCTCCCTCCTCCTCCTCCTCCCCCTCCTCCTCCTGTCCTCCTCCTCCTCCTCCTCCCCCTCCTCCTCCTCCTCCTCCTCCTCCTCCTCCTCCTCCTCCTCCTCCTCCGCCTCCTCCTCCTCCTGCTCGGCCGACAACAGACGCTGAGGCCCGAGGGCAGACGTCGGCGGCCCCGGCCGAGACGGGTGCACCCCGCGGCGGAGCAGCTGGACTCCCGGGCCACCCCGGGCGTCGGCACCGGCGGGACGCCCGCCTGCCGGCCCGGGCAAGCTGCGGCTTGCCGTGCACGGTCGGGAGCTCCTGGATGGCCTGTCGCTGCACCGGTTTTGGCCCACCGCGCTCCGGAGCGACGCGCCGTGCGCAGGAGCGAAAAAAGGACGCACACGTACAGGTATCCGCGCTGGCTTCGAGAGTGCGCATTGCGCAGATGTTCGTATAGCGCGGCCGGTCTCGCGGATCGAGGGGCCGTGCTCATGTACATAGTTTGGTGCGTACGTCTTCTGTTGGCTGCCTATATGCAGGAGGAGTAAAATTCGCCTCACGAAGGACCCAACCATGTGCAGTGGCGAGTACCGCATTGTGGGTACCGGTTTCGGTGGAGCTCCTATGGGGCCACGAAACTTGTGAGGGGTGCGCCGAAATTGGTGGCGCCGACGCATGTGGACACCGCCACTGGGACCTTCGGTGTAGCTCCCTATGGGGCCACGAAGCGCTGCCCTGGGCGAGGGAGACGCATGCGAACTGCGCCATTGGGTCCTTCGCTGGAGCTCCTTATGGGGCCACGAAGCGCTGTCATGGGTGGGGGAACCGCATGCGAACTGCGCCTCTGGCGCCTTCGGTGGAGCTCCCTATGGGGCCACGAAGCGCTGTCCTGGGTGGGAGAGACGCATGCGAACACCCCGATTGAGGCCTTCGGTGGAGCCCCCTATGGGGCCACAAAACGTTGTCCTGGGCAGGGGAGACGCATGCGAAGACCCCCGCTGGGGCCTTCGGTGGAGCTCCCTATTGGGCCACGAAGCGCTGCCCTGGGTGGGGGAACCGCATGCGCCCACCCCCACTGGGGCCTTCGGTGGAGCTCCCTATGGGCCACGAAGCGCTGCCCTGGGTGGGGGAACCGCATGCGCCCACCCCCACTGGGCCTTCGGTGGAGCTCCCTATGGGGCCACGAAGCGCTGCCCTGGGTGGGGGAACCGCATGCGCCCACCCCCACTGGGGCCTTCGGTGGAGCTCCCTATGGGGCCACGAAGCGCTGCCCTGGGTGGGGGAACCGCATGCGCCCACCCCCACTGGGGCCTTCGGTGGAGCTCCCTATGGGGCCACGAAGCGCTGCCCTGGGTGGGGGAACCGCATGCGAACACCCCCACTGGGGCCTTCGGTGGAGCTCCCTATGGGGCCACGAAACGCTGCCCTGGGTGGGGGAACCGCATGCGAACACCCCCACTGGGGCCTTCGGTGGAGCTCCCTATGGGGCCACGAAACGCTGCCCTGGGGGGGGGAACCGCATGCGAACCCCCCACTTGGGCCTTCGGTGGAGCTCTCTATGGGGCCACGAAGCGCTGCCCTGGGTGGGGGAACCGCATGCGCCCCCCGGCCCCCCCCACTGGGACCTTCGGTGGAGCTCCCTATGGGGCTACGAAGCGTGGGAGAGGTGTGCCGAGAGCAGAGGCAATGAGGGGGAGGAGGGAGGAGGGGGAGGAGGGAAGGAAGGAAGGAAGGAAGGAAGGAGGAACGCGGGGCACCGTCTCAACACCACAGGATCGTGGGGAATTAGCCTGGCGAAGGACCCATCCATATGCAGTTGTGGGTATCGCATTCGGGGGAGCCCCGTATGGGGCCACGAAACGCTGTACTGGGTGGGGGGGACGCATGCGAACTGCGCCACTGGGACCTTCGGTGGAGCTCCCTATGGGGCCACGAAGCGCTGCCCTGGGTGGGGGGGAACGCATGCGAACTGCGCCACTGGGGCCTTCGGTGGAGCTCCCTATGGGGCCACGAAACGCAGCCCTGGGTGAGGGAACCGCATGCGGGCTGTGCCACTGGGACCTTCGGTGGAGCTCCCTATGGGGCTACGAGACGCTGCCCTGGGTGGGGGAACCGCATGCGGGCTGTGCCACTGGGACCTCGGTGGAGCTCCCTATGGGGCCAGGGGGAACTGCATGCATGCGGGCTGTGCCACTGGAACCTTCGGTGGAGCTCCCTATGGGGGTACGAAACGCTGCCCTGGGTGGGGGAACCGCATGCGGGCTGTGCCACTGGGACCTTCGGTGGAGCTCCCTATGGGGCCACGAGACGCTGCCCTGGGTGGGGGAACCGCATGCGGGCTGTGCCACTGGGACCTTCGGTGGAGCTCCCTATGGGGCCAGGGGGAACGCATGCGGGCTGTGCCACTGGAACCTTCGGTGGAGCTCCCTATGGGGGTACGAAACGCTGCCCTGGGCGGGGGAACCGCATGCGGGCTGTGCCACTGGGACTTCGGTGGAGCTCCCTATGGGGCCACGAAACGCTGCCCTGGGTGGGGGAACCGCATGCGGGCTGTGCCACTGGGACCTTCGGTGGAGCTCCCTATGGGGCTACGAAACGCTGCCCTGGGTGGGGGAACCGCATGCGGGCTGTGCCACTGGGACCTTCGGTGGAGCTCCCTATGGGGCTACGAAACGCTGCCCTGGGTGGGGGAACCGCATGCGGGCTGTGCCACTGGGACCTTCGGTGGAGCTCCCTATGGGGCTACGCAGCGTGTGAGGGGTGTGCCGAGAGCAGAGGCAAGGAGGGGGAGGAGGGAGGAGGGCGAGGAGGGGGAGGAGGAGGAGAGGAGGTGGGACGCGGGGCGCTGTCTATCTTCAAAACGAGAACCCAACACCACAGGATGGTTGGGAAAACCACACAGACACAATCAATCGTCCACTCCCAGGAAAATATGGGAAAATACGGGAAGTGGTGGCGTGCGGCAGGGGCCGCCGCCACGACACTTACCAGCCTCGAACGTATCCCTATCCCTAAGATTGGCACGCCACAAGGCGATGACAATCCTAGGGATGCGCCCTCAAAAAAATAAGGGAATCCCTGAGATTGGCGTCGTGATGAGGAGGTGCCCAGCATAGGGATAGGGATATGTTCCAGGCTGGTAAACACCTCCATCCGCTGGAGAGGCTCGGCGTGCGGCAGGGGCCGCCGCCACGACACGCTGTGCACGAGTTCCCGGCCGGAGCCGCGGTGGGCACGTGGACATGCAGTGGCCAAGCGGGCCGCGCGCTCAGGCCATGAGAGTGGCGCTCGGGAGGGGAGGAACCACACACGGACACAGTCGATCGTCGATTCCCGGGGAAGTATGGGAAAGTGTGGGCAGTGGGGGGAAGACGAGAACCCAGCAAATACATGAAGCGAGGGGGGATCCTCTGTGTGTAGATGTGTGTGTGCGCGCGTGTGTGTGTAGGTGTGTAGGTGTAGGTGTGCGTGTGCGTGTGCGTGTGCGTGTGCGTGTGCGTGTGCGTGTGCGTGTGCGTGTGCGTGTGCGTGTGCGTGTGCGTGTGCGTGTGCGTGTGCGTGTGTGTGTGCGTGTGTGTGTGTGTGTGTGTGTGTGTGTGTGTGTGTGTGTGTGTGTGTGTGTGTTGTGTGTGTGTGCGTGTGCGTGTGCGTGTGCGTGTGCGTGTGCGTGTGCGTGTGCGTGTGCGTGTGTGTGTGTGTGTGTGTGTGTGTGTGGGCCCCCTGACTTGTGAATTGACTTCGGCTCTGAAGGCCCGGGGCCGCTCCTGGAACGTCTCGGGCGAGCTCGCGCGGAGCCTCCGGGAGAGGCGGCAGCCTCCGCGAGGAGAGGCGTCGGGACGAGCCAGACGCCGCAAGCAGCGCACGGCCGCGTAGGTATCCGCGCACTTGGCCATCCCGTGCAGAGGCTCTGGTGGAGGGCCCTAGGGGGGCCTCGATAGGAGGAGGAGGAGGCGGAGGAGGAGGCGGAGGAGGGAGGAGGAGGCGAAAGTTGAGGGGCCCTGGAGGAAGAAACGCAAGGAAGGGGGGACGCGGCGAAGCTGGAGGATGGGGACGGGGAGGAGGAGGCGAAGGTGGCGATGCAGGATAAGGAGGAGGGGAAGGCGACGGCGAAGAGAAGGGAGGAGAGCGACGAGGAGGAGGAGGAGGAGGAGGAGGAGGCGATGGAGGAGGAGGAGGAGGAGGAGGAGGAGGAGGAAGAGGAGGAGGAGGCGATGGTGGAGGAGGAGGAGGAGGACGATGACGCGGGCGACCAGGGTTCTCCGCCCCCTCGCGTTGTGCCCCCCCCGGCGCGCCCCGAAAGGAGGCGCCCCATCCTTGGGCGAGCGCGAGGCCCGCGGCTGCCCCGATGCTGCGCCCGTCGTGCTCCCTTTTCCACGGCTTGCTCCTCCATCGCATGTTTCCCAACCATCCTGTGGTGTTGGGTCCTCGTTTTGAAGAGACGTCGCCCCGCGTTCTCCTTCTCCTCCTCCTCCTCCTCCTCCTCCTCCTCCTCCTCCTCCTCCTCCTCCTCC